CTTAGAAATTCTGTTGAATAGCTACACTATCAGAATGAAGTTGGGTTGGAACATTTAGTGTGATATTCTGCTGGAATTTCACATGTGACTTTAGGGAGTCCAAGTATCTTCATGTACATGTGACTTCTATGTTGAAGAATAAAAGGATATGAAGTGTGGTTTGTGAATGCTCTGGTTTGCATATGAAAATTTGATGAATTTTACATGTTTTTGAACTAGCCTGGTGATGTGAATACAACACAGATTGTGACATAACTAAGATTAAATTTCTTGAAGCCTGTCCATCAATAGTTATTTTCTGTTTAAAACTGCTAATACAGAATACATTCAAGGCAAACATAAAACTATGAAAAAAGAAAATACCAAGCAGACCTGCTGATATAACTGGTGCTGATTAAAGCACTTGAAACATTATCCCGTCCCTGAAGCCTGAATTTTTCCCAAATTCCTAAATCACCAGTAACACCGCTTGTCTTTGGCATGACTCCTCATAGCAGCTGCAGGGATAATGGCTCCCTCTTCTCTCCTTTTCCCTGCCTCTGGGCCCCTTAGAGCTTTCTCACAGCAAAATCAAGATAACACTCTGAAAGCCATTTCAGTCATATGTTCTCTTATATCATCATTTACTTCATTCTGCATATGTCAGGATTGGCAGCTGCTATTCATTGCAGAGGTAAGCAGATAGAAAAACAGAAGGGACAGAATATTAATTTCCACTTTGCACCTCACTCCAGTGATTACCATCCTGCTGTCCCCCATACTGAAGAAGGGAAACAAGCAGTGACCAAAGCAACCAACTTGTGACTTGAAGGCAACAACTTGGTTCATAGTGGTTTTATTTGTTATATCTTCTCAGCATATGAGTTGATTCAGTAGTATCTAAACCCAATAAAGAAATAAATAAGATTTTGCTCTCTTGCCAAACAACAATACAAAGTAAATAAAACAAATCTTGGTGAACAAGCAATTGTTTTATTTTCCATAATTAACTAATAATTTGTTTATATAATAACACCTGGTGTTACTCCATGCAAATTTGAAAATAGCAATAGCAATAGCACTTAGACTTATATACTATTTCACAATGCTTTACAGACTTCTATATGCAGTTTACAGAGTCAGCATACTGTCCCCCCAAAATCTGGGTCCTCATTTTACCAACCTTGGAAGGATGGAAGGCTAAGTCAACCTTGAGCTGGTGAGACTTGAACTGCCAAACTACACCACTTGAACTGCCAAACTGCACCACCATTATCTTGTCTAAATAAATAATGTGCCAAAATCTGCTAACTTTAATCTACTGTTTAACCTGCAAATACTTTGTATTGAACCATTTAGAGTACATTGAAAGTCGATTATTTTGACTGAGATTATGTTGTATCATATTCACAGTGATGGGGATGAAGTGCACATACAGCCTAGGATTTCTTTGAAATATGAAGCTCTGCAAGTATAGTTTTCTCCCATTTGATGTATTTCCTAACTTACAAATCAATTTGCCAATGAAGTGCTACATTTTCTTACTCATTTTAACACTCCAAAATTATGTTCTGCTGGCCATACTTACACAATCATAAATCTGCAACCTAAAGATAGTGTCATCTTGCTCAAATTTTCTCAAGTTTCTTAGATTAATTTAGCCTTACCTCTGCTGTTGAGTCTGGCCTGGGGAATAACTGGTAATTAAATGATTACTGAAGAATGTGATCTATTCCCTTCATTGGTTCTTTTGGTGGTTATGGGATGGCTCTGGTTTTCTCCCATGTGAAAACAAATATAATATATATAATATATTTGTTTTCTATCCTGCTTGTATTGTTCATAAATTAAGAACAGTAAATGTCATACAGGGAATAACTAGGATATTGAAGAGTTTTTTTATAACACTATAAACTCATTCTGTTTTTTTCTTAAAATTACAAGCAAGCTGGATAGCTTCCTTTTACTCTATGAGAACTGCACATTTTAAAATCACTGGTTATTTTTGATTGAAAATTTTATTTTCTACACTAGCTTTCAAAAATCTCAAAAGTAACCAATTATCTGTGCTAATTCAGTAACATTTATATAATTCAGCACTATATACTGTAGTTTTACAGAAATTCTTCTTGGGATTTACAAATTAAGCCTGATTTCTTTTTTCCTTTTACAAATTCAAGTATTATATGGCTATAATAGCAGAGGAAGTTTTATTTTTTTAATAGTTATTATATGACACTGTTTAGAACCATAGAATTCTAAATTCAGTCAGTATTTGCAAAGTATCACATCATTATTGATCAATTTATCTTGTGCTTAAAGCACTTCAATCATATACGCACACTTCATATTTTTAAATTAATATAGGGTTCCATTCTAAAATGACTTACGGTAAATGTTTATCAAAATAGAAACTGCTATCATTTTTCCCCCTTCGCTTCTCATATCTTTACGCCTCCCCCCTCCACACATTTCCAGACATTTGAAGGGACCTTTCTATACTATATGAAATAGAGCTGGTAAGACAAGCATTTCTCTTCTCAATTTAAGTTAACTGATCTTAAAATCCAAAAAGCAATTTGAAGAAGTTCTGAGCTACTTCAGCGATCTAGAACATGCTATATTACATTGGAGATCAGGAAACTTTCTTCAACAGGCAGGTTTTTTAAGGGATGCATAGATTATTTTAACTCAAAATCTAAGCTCCATTTATCTATCAGTGTTGGCTTAATCAGTAAATGATACAATATTGAATATTACATTATAGTATTATGTTATGATCTCTACTGCTTTATCAAGGAGTTACTGTAATTGGATAGCCTTAAGCAATATAAGCCCTCAGTTTATTATTGCCTAGGGCTAAAAGTTTAAACATAATCTCTCATTATTGCAGAAATATAAAAATTAACAAATGAATTGATAATTCCAGGAGTAAAGGCATTAGCCTAGAACAGGGGTGTCAAACTGCCGGCCCGCAGGCCGGTTTCATCATACCAAAGCCGCGCCCACCCCATTGCCGGCAATGCAAAAAGTCATGATGTGGCAAGTTTGACAACTGTGGCCTAGAAGCTGGGAGACTGTAACGTCCACTTTAGGCATGAAACCAGCTGTGTGACCTTAAACTAGCCACATTCTGTCAGCCATAGGAAAGAAGGGCATTTCTGCTTGCCGATAAACTGCAGGAACAGAATTTATCATTATTGCAGAATTATTATAATTAACAAACGAATTGACAGTTAGAGCCACTGAGATGAAACAACTTCTGTTTGTTGAAAGCTAGGGCAGCATTAAACAAGAGAAAAATGATACTTAATATAACACTTATTGCCTTGTTTATGGAGAAATGATAAATGATGCTGTTTCCAATGTGGGATTTCCCCCCCCCACACACACACAAACACATATGTCTCAATATGTGAACATGAAGGCCATGATTTATTTGCATAGGCAAGAAAACTTTAAGCAGGGAAAGAAAACTGAAATATAATTTATACTCTGGGAATAAACTTTTAATAGTCCAATCTGAGAGAATGCTGAAGTAAACAGGAGTGTTTAAGTTAGCAGGATATATAGAATCTTTCACATCTAAGATTTTTTAAGACCTGTTGATGTTTGTGTTAACAATTCTGTTCTTGAAGCATACCATCATATAAACAGTTGCTTTCCCATTCTGTCTTAAAACTTCCTAAAAGGGGGCAAATGCACCAACCTAAGATTTTAGAATAAATGGAAGAACTCACCTTATTTATTTTTTTTTCAAATAAAGTAGAAAGCGTAGACTAACGCCTTCATGCCATAGAGCATGGGTCTATTAAAAGGTTTTAAGATGACACTCATGTGTCAGTGGGAGCACATGTTCCGAGTAAATTTTCCTTCGGGTACTGAATTTTACTTTGAAAATGAAGTATGTAAAATGAGATTGCAGGGTAAGCTCAGTGAGGGAATATTCTCATTATAGCAGTGATTGGGCAGTACTATCCTTGAAGTTTGATGGAGTTGCAAATTGTATTTATTTAAAATGAAACCTTACTACCTTTAGCAGCTGGTTTTTCTCTTACTCATTTTATTTTCTCCTTAATTATCTACTTACTATATTTATGTATGTGACTAATTCCTGCTATTAATTTTTTATTGGTACAACAATTTTAGCTTACTTTTCTTTAAAAAATAATTCCAAATTGTTGTGATAAAACCAACCAATAAAGCCATTGAAAATTTAAAACAATACAACATTTTGAAACCAACAGTCATAAAACAGGATCAAAAAAATTGAAATGTGCTAATACTGTAGTATAAGGTCAGCCAAAAGGCTAAGTCAGTCAATAGATCTTTAACTGTACTAAAAGCTAACAAACTTGGTGCTAGCCATAATTAAACAAAGAAACAATTCCATCATCAGTGTGCCCCTCTCTCTTCCCCTCCCCCCTCTCTCTCACACACACCAATGCTTCCCAATGTCAAACTTCAGTGTCTTCAATATAGATATGCATAACATAATAAAATAATATACGTATAGATTTTTATATAAATATGGCCCTATTTCAGCAAGATTAAATTTAGAACACTTTAAGGGGAGATAAACAACTTGTAGCTCAGAGCTGTTTATGCATATCAGTTGCAACCCTCCCCCAGGTTCTCAGTAGCATAATGGTTAATTTTAGTGGCTATTTTATTACTGGATGTTGGTGGCACTAATTTTAGCTGTTTTAAGTATGGAAATGTGAAAGATACTTCCCAGGGGGTTACAGTTCCCATTCTTGCTCTTAATGTGGTCCTCAAAACTGGTCCAAAATTACTACATTCTGGTGATCCCATATGCAGAGGAATGTATTGCAGCCTCGATTCATAAAATTGCTGACCTCTGTTTTGGGTCTGTTTTCTATATTTTAAAGGATGAAATAATAATGTATTTCTTTCTGCTGGACAGGTGAAAATTGGAATAGACAGGTGCAAGTAGAAAACTGCAAGAAGGCAACTATATTCTTGGCAACCTTCAGTTGGATTCCTTTTAAACAGTTGAACTTCTGCTCATGTGGTTTTCATCCAGGTTCTCAGTTATAAAAGAGAGATTAAATTGTTTTGTGATTAAAAAAAGGATTAAATAGGCTGTTTACTTTTCCCCCCTTTAAAGCTCCTTTGCATTTAAAAAGTAGGGATTAGCTATTTGGAAACATAATTTAAGTGATAATGTAGAATTAATCAGAACTTGAACTTAAGAGTAGCTAGAATAGCAAGTACCACTTAACTATTCTGCTTTCTAATGTTAGTCCCTTTGTTATCATAAACAATAAATAAATAAAGGTTTAACATATCTTTATGGTCCACAGCAAAAAATACCTAGTGATGAAGGACATTGAAAATCCATATTTGAATTTGGACTATCAAACCAAGCCAGTGGTGGGATTCAAATATGTGAACAACTGGTTCTCTGTGTGGATGCCGCTTCCGGAAGTCCATTCTGGGCCTGGGAAATAAAAAATTAGCTACCGGTTCTGCTGAAGTGGTGCAAACTGGCTGAATCCCACCACTGGATCAAGCTATATATTTCATCTCTGCTGGAATATAATTAGAGAGCCAGTTTTTTTATAGTGGTTAAGGTGCCAGGCTAAAACCTAGGGGAATATCCGTTCTAGAAAAAAAAATGGTGTCAGGGTTACCTGTAGCTCTGGGATCTCAGTTGAATGAAGTTCATGAAAGCTTATGTGGCCTTTTCAGGTTTTCTGTACAAAGTAGTGTGGGAGATGAAAATATAGCCCCCTTCTCATATAATAAGATAGGGCTAGAACAAACCTGAAATAGGCCCCCACAGAAGTGATTTGAAGCTTTAACTTGAACTTTATGCTGTTTCTCAATAAGGACGTACTATTTGTAATCTGCTGAGTTTTGTGCAATAGAAATTGTAAAGTAGGTAATTCTGTGTATATTTAGAACATAAGGACTGGAACAGTAAGAAATAGGGAACTGAAAGTAGCTGATGGATGCGAGTTCCAATGTACACGGATATATGTGGATAGTTATGTTCAGCAGAAGGTCAACAAAAGTCAGCAGACCATCTGACTACAGTCTTAGAATGGGAAAGGGTATAAAGAGTTGGGTCTGGACCTGATTGATTTGCCATTGGCCTGTAGCTGTCCTTTTGGAATTGCTATACCATATAGTCCTCATTGCAATGGGTTATTAATGTAAGCGATGTTGTGTTATTATGCTTGCTATGTTCCAAATCATTAGCAAAATAAACCTCTGAATCTTAAAGTAAGAATTATTGTTTTGTGTTGCTGTCTCTTGTCTTTTCCATTGGGTTTTCCCACAACAGTAGAAAAGGCGATGGAGACCAACCAGAACATTGATGAAACTCTAGTATATACCATTGAAGGCATTATAAACATAATTTCATTAATTAAATGCATACAACCTTCTAGAACAACTTTTTTAGTTAGTTGGTTTTCAGATAAGATGGACATGCTAGTAAAAATTGTGTTTCAACAACGCTGGACTATTCCAGGAAAGTCTTCATAACTCTAAAATAGTGATTTATACAATAGTATGCATCAAATAATTTCTAAAAATTACAAAACAGAATCTTAAAAATAGAGATCAATGCATTCCATTAATTGTGGTAAAAATAATTTTAATCAGCTTTACATAAATGGGCAGTACTAAAACTTTAGAATTCAGAAAAGGAATTCTAAATTTGGAAAAATTTTGAAGACTGAAGGCACTACTTAAAATTCAAGCAATATCTTCTTTAGAAATAGATAGATAAAAATGTCAAATTGGCAAGATGGAGCAATAGATGGTCTTTGTGACTAGATTTAATAATATGTTAAAGGATTGGACTAATTTTATATTAACATTTTATGGATATATTCTTAGTTTCTACAAATGTTATTCACTTACACATTATCCTATGTATTTATTTCGCTAAGTATGAAACATATTTAACTGCTATATTTTGGATCGTATTTTATGGCTGTTATTCTCATAAATGTATATATATATAAAAGAACCTTTGGATTGGGTTAGAAAAGCACCTTAAGTAATATAACTTTCACAAAATTTGTGGTCGATGTTTTGGACCCTTGATTTCCCTAAACCTAGTTTTATTTTGTACCAGTTGAAATTTCTAACAATTTTCTCCTCTTTTATTATTTGTGCATGCTTATTGGTGGAGGGGTGAAATTGAACCTATGAAACACCATTGATATTCAATTCATGGTGAATATGTAGACATATCACTAAGTATTTCAGTGATGTTGAGATTTTCTTTTTCCAGAATTGACTAATTTGATCAGGGTTTGTCCATTTATTTCTTTTCTCCCTTCAGTTAGTTGCCAATTCAAATAGGATCTGTAACATCAAACACTATGTTTTATTTTTGTAGGCAGCCGGAGTCCACTTGATCAGTGTGTACTCAAGTCCTAATGATCAGAGTCTATGGGCCATTGACAACAAATGGAATGTTCATGTGCGCACTGGGATTACAGAGGAAATGCCAGTAGGCACAAATTGGGACCAGGTTCCAGGTAAAATTACTTAACAAATATATGCTTTGGTTGTAACTTGAATATTGCCAATGCTCGGCCCCATCTTAATTAATGTACTTAAATCCTTGTAACCCATTTTGTCTGTTTATGCAACAAAACCTACTCCCTCTTCCAGCATCCTAAATGTGGCACTCAACAACAACAGCAACAACAACAACATATAGTTCTGTGAAGACTAAAAACTATGAAGATACCCTTTTTTGTTTTGTTTTTATGCTTCGATTTCATTTATTCTAATGAGAAGTTTCTTTTGAATACAGTGTACGTAGTATCTGTCTCAAAGCTGTTTCAGTGGGTTTGTACTTCAAATGTCTTGGCTTTTAGGGCTTCAGGCAAGTGAATTGGTAATAAGCATGAAGACTGTATGGGCGCGTTGTCCAAATGGAGATGTAGCCCGCCGGTATGGCATCACAGATAAAAATCCTGCAGGTGATTATTGGAAGAAGATTCCAGGAAATGTTTCTTGTTTGGCAAGTGAGTATATCTGTGTGTGTGTGTGTGTATGTGTGTGTGTGTATGTGTATACACTAATATGTTATGTAGTCTTTGGGGGATTATAGCAGGAATTCTATTTATTCAGGATCAGAAAGCTGAAATATACTAGCTGTTCTAATCAGTTTGATCTTAATTTCACACAACTCCTCTCTACATTTAGATTTTAAGTCCTTGAAGAGATCTTATTTAATTGTTTTGATCTCCATTTGGAATAACACACTGCCATTGGATTAACTCCTTACTATAGAACACATGAGCTATTCACTATCAAAACAAATGCAGACCATGCAAGCAGATATCTGTACGTAGACAAAGTAATATCAAGCACATTTTATTCTAACAACTACTTTCAACTGAATAATTGGACTTTTTCTGTTTTCTGTTTATTTTTTGATTTAAGCAAAATTGGAAAAAAAATGTTTGTTTCTTCAAACTTAGTTTACAAGTTTAATATATTATTATTGGTTGGTTGCACACTCAACCTGATTTTTAGACTGAGTTTGGCATTTTTATCCACCTTTCTAATCCTTCCCAAGGACCTGGGATAGTCAAATGTCGTTTACTGGTATTAAAGGTAGCTTCATATAAGCTGTTCCAAGTACAGCAGCTGTCTTTTGTAATTGGTGGGGATTTTTTCAGTGCCAATGGTATCCAAGCAGTACTCCATTGTTGTGGTTGTTATTGCAAAGGCATTAAATCAATGAGAAAAGTTAATGCTGATCTCAAATTCCATTGATTTCAATGGCCATATTCTTAAGTATAATTCAGCCTTAATTTTTTCTAGTTGGAAGTAAATTAGATTTCTTGAGTTATTGGTTCTTCTTATTATATACTAAAACTAATTCGCTGTTATTGTTCCCAGTTACCCCTCTAGATGAACTATGGGCAATTAGTTCTTCAGGAAATCTCATTCAGCGCCTCACAAAGACATTCCAGCATTCTCATAACATGCAGAAACACAGTGATGCTTCTATATCATTTCACTCTGATGGTTTTGAGGATGAGTGGGAAGTGATATAAAGTGAATAACAGTAAATAAGTAAGAACACATCCTTGGGAATCCTGTTACTTGGGAAATGCCAAGCTTTTGAAGCCACATTTTATAACATTATCTTTTTGAGATATAGGAGACTAATTTATATAGTAGCCCTTAAATTGTTTAGTAAAATGTCTTGTTCAGTATATCTCAGGTGAGGCAGGCAATGCGCTTAAAGAAATTGTGAACTTGTCTTTATTCTAGAAGTTGTACTTTGACTATAATGTATCAATTTAACCTCATTAACAACAAAATGAATTTGCTGCAGCATGCAAGCTAATGTCTGTACTATGTAGAAATAATTTCTGTTATATTACCTATTTCTCAACCGCTGAAAAAACACTATTTAGTTTTTATCTTGGACATTAATCTCTTAGGAAAAAATGGGGGTATGCCTTTAATAGAAAGGAATAAAATACTGTAATTGTTTTTCAGTGGAAAGCTACACAATTTGATGCTCAGATTAAAGTTTCATTATAACTTTCAGAGCTCTACTGAATTTTCACTCTGATTAACTGGCCTAAACGCATTAGTTCCCCTTATTCTTCTCTAACTTTGAGTCTCTTGTGAATTGAGATTATAACTGTCCAATTTCCCAGCCATGTTAACATGTTGAATTAGAATTATGGACATTTTGGTTAAAAGGTATCTTGGAGGGCTTCTGGTTAGGGGAGATTGCTCCACAATTGCTTATGAGAGCTAAACATAATATTACAAGTCATTTCCATAAAATGAAGGTGGCTCTGGGGGTGAGATTCAGTACCACATTTAGCCTGACAGAATTAAGCCTGTGTTCATAGTAGATTCTGTATTTCCTTTTTACCATAATTTATAATCAAATCTAAATATAGTACTAAAGAAGCTTATCCCAAAAGAAAGGTTGTGGTACTCACCAGGATTTGCCTTTATAATAGGAAATTTTAGCTACATTAGCTAAATCTTGCAATGTCTTATATTAAAATGTTTACAGCAGAGATGCTTAAATGTATAATTTACTGATCACTGCCGCTTATGTATCATAATTACTAAATTTCTTAAGAACACTGTAAGACAAAATATTATCCCAATAGTTTTCATTTATAGTGCTTTTTAATATATATATATATATATATATATATATATATATATATATATATATATATATATATATATATTTGTTTTCTGAGGTTTTCGCGGGTATTTGTATGTAGGTCTTTGGTTGTTCGGGTTTTCTCCCACGTAAAATTGGAAGTGTCTTGGCGACGTTTCGACGAAGTCCCATTCGTCATCTTCAGGCTGGTGTTTTCAGCTTCGTGCCTCGAGCAGCAATGTGTGGTCTTGGCTGTTTCTTCCTTTTAACTGCCAGTGGAGGTATGAACTGATTGGGTGGGAGCTTGGCTGTGTTCTGATTGGGTGGAGGTGTGTTCTGATTGGTTAGGGGCTTGGCTGTGCTCTGATTGGCTGGGGGGTTGGCTGTGCTCTGATTGGCTGGGGGAGTGTTCTGTTTGGTTGTGCTCAGGTTAGTCTGAGTTGCAGAGGGATTCAAGATTTTGGGCTGCCCTGCCATTCCTTGGCTTCGCGTTCGTGGTCGTGCTTCCTCTTCATGGAGGGTGTCAGTTTGCTTCATGTATGGATTGGGGGGTTTAAAGTGGCTAATGATGCAGCTGTGGTCTGGCTTCTGGTTTGTGGTCGTGCCTCATAGTCAGTGTGGCTTTGGGTTTGTTTTTTGCGTGGATGTTTGGTGGTGACATCCTGTGTGGTTTTTGTGAGTGTGGGTCTGGTATCATTTTTTGTGTTAGGGAGTCGTTTGTCAATGAGGGCGGGTTTCCAAATGGCTGGTAGGCGGGAGGTATCATCTCGCTTGTTCATGCTGTGTGGGCGTTTTTCTATCTCGATGGCTTCTCTGATTATTCTGTTATTAAAATGTTCACTTTTGGCAATGGTTCTGGTATTTTTAAAGTCAATTTCATGTCCTGTGGCTTTAAGGTGTTGGACCAGGGAAGATGTTGGTTCCTCTTTTTTGACTGAGTTCTTATGTTCTTCAATGCGTGCACTTATTCTTCTGTTGGTTTGTCCGATGTATGTGGTGGGACAAGTGGTGCATGGGATTTCGTATACTCCTTGATTTTCTAATTCAATTTTATCTTTGGGGTTTCTAAGGATGGTGGATATTTTTCTGTTTGTGCAGAATGCTGTTTTGATGTTGAGTTTATGGAGGATCTTACTGATTCTGTCTGTGATGCCTTTTATGTATGGGAGGATGGCTTTGCCGTTTTCTTGTTCTTTGTCTTGGATTTTAATGGGGGTTTCTTTTTGGATTAGGTTTGTAATCTTATTTCTATGGAATCCATTGGATGTTAGTACATTGGTGAGAGTGTGTAGTTCGGGTTTTAGGTGTTGTTCGTCAGCTAAGCGTTTTGTTCTGGAGATGCGTGTCTTGGCTACAGAGTTGATCTGTGCTGGGTGGTGGTGTGAGAGAGCGTGCAGATAGCGGTTTGTGTGTGTTTTCTTCTGGTAGATGGTGTGTCCTAGGGAGCCATTGGATTTCTTGTAGACTAAGACATCCAGGAAGGGAAGTTGGTTGTTAGTTTCTGTTTCCATGGTGAATTGTATTTTGGGGTGTAGGCTGTTGAGGTGTGTGAGGAAGTTGTCGCCAAGACACTTCCAATTTTACGTGGGAGAAAACCCGAACAACCAAAGACCTACATATATATATATATATATATATATATATATATATATATATATATATATATAGTTATTTTGAAGCAATTATTATTGAATCTGAAAATGAGCTAAGTTAAGTAATATTGGATGAACCTGGGTGGAGATAATGGGATTTTTTTCTTTCTTCTAAAGCTGCCTGATACAACCCTGTATCAATGGATTTTTTGCATAAGAACTAATTTTGGCACCATAGACATATTTATTAGCAGCAGCACTTATATAATTAATGCTCTGTTCCTGTTGATTCTTTTATTTTGGGATGACCAAGTGGCTACATTTGTTTTGTTCTGAGATCTCATTTATTTGAGTCTGCCTCTGAGGGTTTTTGTAACCAACTAGCTGTCCATCTATCCCTAGTTCAATTGGCATATTTCTTTGGAAGCCCTTTGGCAGCTGGGATTCCAGAGCCATCACTTCTCTTCAAGTCCAGAATTTTTGAGCAAATGGAGTGGCATTTATGATGCACTTCTGGCCAAATACTCATATTCTATTAATGAAAAAAATGACATGCTTGCATTTGTGGCCAGCCAAAAATATGTATGAATGTTTGCATGTATATAAACACAATAACACTGTTAAAAATGCGCCCTTCTTTCATTAATTGCTTAGTTTGCTAGATGTTTATATGGTGCATAATAGTGTGATTGGCTTGATTCATAAATATGGTGTTGACAGTTCTTCTAAGCCCAATGAGTTCTTTTGTATCTTCTAACAGTCTGAAATGTTTTCCATCATAGTTT